GCGACCACAGGTGGAGACTCTCAGACAGTCGACTCCACGGAGGAAAAGGCCGTTATGTGACGGGTGCGGGGGGCACGGGAGGTGGCTGCAGGTTCAAGGTTTCAGGGTTTTAGGGTTTCAGAGTTTAGGATTCAGGGGTTTAGGGTTTAGGATTCCGGGTTTAAGGTTTCAGGGTTTAGGGTTTACGGGGGTTAGGGTCTAGGGGTTTCAGGGCTTAGGGTTTGAGCATTTCAGGGTTTCAGGAGTTTAGGATTTCAGGGTTTAGCGCTTCAGGGAAGGGATGATTGCAACGTGAAGGTCTCCATTGTCCTGTCGCTTCAGCCAGAAGCAGTCCTGTTGACAACCAATTCCTGTTTCACAATGCTCCAAAGGACTTGAGCAGCATTGAGACAGCACGGGCTCGTCTCGTTCTAGGGTTTTGGGATTTAGGGGGTTAGGGTTTAGGGTTTCAGGGTTTTGTCGTTGTAGGGTTTTCAGGGTTAGGGTTGTAGGGTTTCAGGGGTTAGGGGTTCAGGGGTTAGGGTTTCAGGGGTTCAGGGTTTTCGGGTTTCAGGGGTCAGGGTTTTAGGGGTTTCAGGGGTTAGGGTTTTAGGGTTTCAGGGGTTAGGGTTTCTGGGGTTTAGGGATTCAGGGTTTAGGGTTTAGGGTTGAACGGTTCAACTACTGTAGCCTCGTTTCTGGAGACCGCTATCATTGGTGTTGCTATTGTTGTTGTGGTGATGACCGCTAGTTCCTTGCGCACCCCGCAACTCGCCCCTCTGAACCCTAAACCCTAAACCCTAAACCCTAAACTGTGGCTTAACGTGTCTTCGAGGCTGCGCCATGCCTGGGCACGGCTACCGTCGCCACCTCCCAGCCCACATCTTGGAGGAGGGAGAGGTTTCGGGTACAGGGTTTAGGGTTTAGGGTTTTGGGTTGAGGGTTGAGGGTTTAGGGTTTAGGGGGTTTGGGGGTTTGGGGGTTTTGGGCAGGTTCTGGTATGCCAGACCCTTCATGCCGTGCAGCATCTGACAGCTGAACCAAGAACTTCTTACTAGATGCACGCATATGTGTATAAATATAGGTATGGATACAACTATACATATAAGCATAAGTCGGGAAACCAAAATTATGATAGTTTAAATACATATATACATATATAGTTATTCATGTATATGTGTACATGTTTTGCGTAATTATATAATATGGTACATATACAAATAAATAAATCAATAAATAAATATGTATATATATATAATATGTATATATATATATATATGTATCTATATATGTATATATATATATGTATATATATATGTATATATATATAGGCCTCTGCATCTCCTAGAGCACAAGCCAACTGCTCGGAGTTCAGAGCGCCCAAGCCCCTTTTGATGCAGGATCCACGCACATCCAGCATTTCCATCCCCACTCAGGATCCATGTACCCATAGTGGGCCCTAAGGCCCTTGCTTTCGGGTTTGGGGTTTAGGGTTTAGGGTTTGCGTTTAGGGGTTTAGGGTTAAGGGTTTGGGGTTTAGGGTTTAGGGTTCAGGACTTAGGGTTTAGTTAGGTTTAGGGTATGTACCTGGGCCCTAAAGCAACTACATGGGAACCGCTTGAAGGCCCAAGTATTTATTATGCAGGTACATGCACCCTTAGGGAGGTGGACTATTTGGCACGTACTTCGGGGCCCAGGTATTCCCTTCGAAGGCCAGTAAACCCTGACCCTAAGTCGTAAACCCCAAACCCCAAACCCTAAACCCCAAGCCCTAAACCCTAGACCCCAAACCCTAAACCCCAAACCCTAAACCCCAAACCCCTAACCCTAAACCCCAAACCCTAAACCCTAAACCCTGCTACCTGGACCTCGTGCCACTGAGGCCACCGGCTCCACCTGCGCAGCGTTCGCGTTCTGCCAGCCACCAATCTGGAAAGCCGGTGGGTTTAGGGTTTAGGGTTTAGGGGTTTAGGGTTTAGGGGTTTAGGGGTTTAGGGTTTAGGGTTTAGGGCAGTTTAGGGTTTAGGGTTTAGGGTTTAGGGTTTAGGGTTTAGGGATGGATTTTGGGGTACTTTGGTGGGTGTACAGGGTTGTAGGGGTTTCCAGGTTAGAGGTTGGTAAGGTGGTTGTTGAAGGGTGTACCGAACCCGATGTCCACTGCCGAGCTCCGAACTAGGTCAACGAGTTGGCCTTTTAGGGTTAGGTTTTAGGATTCAGGGGATAGGGGTTTAGGGTTTAGGGTTTAGGGTTTAGGGTTTAGGGTTTAGGGTTTAGGGTTTAGGGTTTAGGGTTTAGGGTTTACGTTCATCCCTCGACATCAAAACGCCCAAAGCATGGTCCAAACACCCAAAACCCCGAAACCCTAAACCCCAAACCTAACCCCCCCAAACCCGAAACCCTAAACCCCAACAAACCTAAGCCCCCCCCCCCCCCCCCCCCCCCCTAAACCCTAAACCCCAAACCCCAAACCTAACCCCACCCTAAACCCGAAACCCTAAACCCCAAACCTAACCCCTCCAAACCCTACAGGGTGGGGCCCCCTTACTATACTAACTGTAGTTAGGGGACTTATAACCTAACTTAGGGTCCTTATAACCCAATTTAGGGCCCTTAGAACTCTACTTATAACTAGGGGGGCCCCACCCTGTAAACTCCCCTAAAGTGTCATCCTTGGGGCCGCCTAAAACCCTAAACCACCCTAAACCCCATAAACCCTACAAACCCTATAAACCCTATAAACCCTATAAAGCCTATAAAGCCTGTAAACCCTATAAACCCTATAAAGCCTATAAAGCCTATAAAGCCTATAAAGCCTATAAACCCTGTAAACCCTAAGCTCTAAACCCTACTGTTGCATTCAAAGGTTGCAGGTCGCCGCGCGAGTACATCGTCGAGGCCTCCACTGAGGATTTGGAGCTTTGGGGTTCTGAGTTTGGGGGTTCGACGTTCGGGGGCTTAGGGTTGAGGGTTGAGGGTTTAGGCTTTAGGATTTAGGGTTTAGGGTTTAGGGTTGAGGGTTGAGGGTTTAGGGAGAGACAGCTTCAAGCCTTTTGGCCGTAACGGTTTCAGGGCTCAAGGGCCTTGGCTTCAGCTCAGGTTCTTCCCCCCTAAATTTGGGGGCTCCCGGGGGCATTTCTTCATAGAGGGTCCCAGATTTGTTTGGGGGGGGGGGGGAAGGGGTCCCAGCTATGGAAGACAGTTCAACATCAAACCCTATATGAACCCTCTGAACCTTACACGCTCAAGTCTCTGGGTGCCCCTAAACCCTATAGGGTTTTTAGGGTTTAGGGTTTAGGGTTTAGGGTTTATAAACCCTAAACCCTAAACCCTAAACCCTAAACCCTAAAAAGCTGCATGCCTCCACGTCCGGCCGCGCTGGCAGGCGATTACGCCCGCCGAGGCGGAGAAGCTCACGAAGTCCGCCGGCTCCTGAGCATCGAGAAGCGTTCAGGGCACGGGCATAATTAGCAATTAGAGTGAGGGTTTAGGGTTTAGGGTTCCGATGTAAGAGCATCGAGAAGGGTTCCGGGCGTAGGGTGTCATTAGAGTTTAGGGTTTTAGGGTTTAGGGTTTGGGGTTTGGGGTTTAGGGTTGGGGGTTTAGGGGCTTTAGCGGGTTTAGGGGGTTGAGAGTTCCGGGCTTCAGGCCCTGCCTTTCCTGCTCGATAGAGAGAATCTCTCGATTACACCACGGGTACTCAAATGCCTACTATGAGGAGTGCTTCAGCTGCACCTGTGACGTCTTGCTTGTGTCGTGTTGAAGCACGCAGCGGGAGTTCGTTTCTCCTAAACCCTAAACCCTAAACCCTTTAAGGGGAACAGGGCACCCTGTTTATTCTTAGGTTATCTCCCCCTCCATGTTAATTACAGGCAAGTTCACAGAACTCCCTGTGTGCATCATCCCAACATCCATCGGTGACATGCGTACTTGGAGGTTCATGGTACTCATTAACCAACTTTAATTGTACTTGTCGGGTTTAGACTTCTTAACCAATCAGAACTGTACTTGTAGCCCACTTATACGCCCCTTAAGTGCCCCAAGAAGGTTATAAGTACAGTTATAAGTACAGTTATAATAAACCCTAAACCCTAAACCCTAAACCCTAAACCCTGAATTGGTTAGGTATAATTGGTTAAGAAGTACCTTAAAACTCCAAGCAAGAAGCGATCAACTCAGCCCTCGGAGCAGAGTGCTTTAGGGTTTGGTGTTTAGGGTTTCGGGTTCAGGGTTTAGGGTTAGGGTTTAGGGTTTATATGGTTTAGGGTTTAGGGTTTAGGGTTTAGGGTTTAGGGTTTAGGGTTTAGGGTTTAGGGCGCATGTCCGCGTCATGCGGGAATCTAGTCCCCCGCTGATGTGAGCACCCTAAGGGTCCATGTACCTAAATAGGGATACTTGGGCCGTAAAGTCCCGGGACATGGAGGTACTTTAAGACCCAAGTACTAGTACTACCTATTTAGGTACACGGACCCTTAGAGGCAGCAGAGGCAAGTCCGTCAGGCAAGCAAGGCTCCCCTGATGCTAACGGGAGCCCAAAACGGGACAAGCCGTCTTTACGAAAGCCTTCGTTCCTGAATCCCGAATCTGATTCTTTGCGGGCTCTACAGCGGAGATGTGTGTCATCCACAGAAGGAAGCCAGAATATCCCAAGCTTTTTGGAACTTACAGCCTTGCCCCTTGAGCTCTTCTAGGCTGCGGGGGAGGGGTGGGGGGGGGGGGCGTCACCTTCTTACCCATAGCCTTGAAGCACTACCCGCTTTGATCGCTTGCTTTGAAGTTCTGACAAAGTTGAAGCACTCGAGATGCATTGGCCGCAGCACGATGGTCCGATGGTCAAGCTTGATCAAAATTCTCGTGGCCACTTTCTACGGGCGCGTAGGCAGACATTCATCGAAGTTTCCTACAGTAGGTTGCGTAGGCATGTCCGTAGTATTTGAAAGCACGTAGAATCTGTTCAACATGTTCTTTAGGTCCTGTGCGTGTTGTTTTTGGTGTTTAGGTCACGGTCTCACGTAGGTGCCACCATGCCACGGGGAGGGAAGCAAGCTGGAGGCCAAGCGCCTGGCAGGGCAGCTGCCAACCAACGATCGAATGAGATGAACCCGAACAACAAAGCCTACTACCCGGGAAGAGAGAGACCGGCAGATTTCGGCAGGATCATGCAGGAGAGACGAGAGAGGGGCCAGAGAGAGCACCAACTCAATCTTGCGGCTGCCGAGACAAAGCAATATCGTGCGGCACATGGCAGGAATATGGCTCGAGTAGAACAAGCAGTCAAGGCCATCCGGCCAGAAGCCAGGATTCAGCTAGGTGGCTCAAGGCAGAAGAAGACAAACCTAGGGGGATCTGATGCGGATGTTAAGATGATTGACAAGAAAGCTTTCACTGGACAGGATAGACCAGATCTGACCGAAGAGCTTCGCCGTCGTGGATTTCAGGTAGACACTTCGAATCCGCGCATTCACAGGGTGCAAGGCGAAGACGGACCGTGCATAGATCTCGTACCATTCAACGCCACGTATTTTCCGGCAGGCTTTGACGCGGGGTACCCCAGGAACTCTTTCCGCGACAATCCGGTAGCAAGACAAGCCGTCAGGGAAGTCAAACTCCAAGCTCAAGAGCATGGAATCCCCATCAAGGGATACGCAGCGGAGCAGGCAGTCCTCAAGGAGCAGCGGAAGGGAAAGAAGGCCGACTGGCTCGACCTTGGGCGTCAAGCCGCTGTGGAGCTGGGTGTACGCCGCTAACTGCTATTTGCTTAAGAACCCCGAAGTAAATGAATATGAGCAATCCCTATAATATGGCCCAGAAGGAAGCATACATTGTTGTTTTTGGGGGGGGGTTCTTATGCAAATAGTACCCAGAGACTCCAATACCACTGAATTAAGGAGCCTTCCTTAAACCATATAAGGGACCCTTGTATAATTTCAGGAATATATTCCTTAGTGAAGGGGTATTGGAGTCCCTGGGTAGTTAAGTGACAGCTGAGGCTGACCCTAAACCCTAAACCCTAAACCCTAAACCCTAAACCCTAAACCCTAAACCCTAAACCCTAAACCCTAAACCCTAAACCCTAAACCCTAAACCCTAAACCCTGAACCCTGAACCCTGAACCCTGAACCCTACTCAGGGCCCTGTGGTAAGCAGTCTTCCCGCGATGAGTCCAAAAAGCTGTCCGTCTGAATCCTGAATTTCAGCGCAGGGGGCTTTCTGACACTGCAGTACATAAGGGTTTAGGGTTTGGGGTTTGGGGTTTGGGGTTTGTCGTTTGGGGTTTGGTTACGGACACTGCATGCGGCGCAAGTCATTCAGGGCCCTCAAAAACTCAAGCCAGTTGCGGTTTACTATATGGGTGGTCAAAATTATGATCCTTCTTGGGGTACCCGAAATATCAGGTGCCGTATTAGATTAGGGATCCAAAAAGGGACCATAATTTTGACAACCACCCATGTATGCTATGCGATGGGACACTTCGCTATATTATACTGTACCATGCATCATGCCATACCGTACTAAAGTGAATTCTACAGCACTCTACTGTAGGTCTTCAGCCAAGGTAGGTGCCCTGAAGCCCTAAATCCCTAAACCCTATAAACCCTAAACCCCTCCACCCCTGAACCCTATGCTGTTACACCTTGAGAGCACCAGGCGATGATCTCCTGGTCGCGTCCGGTTGTCCCAGGAGGCGCTGGAGGGTCCATTAGGGTTTAGGGTTCAGGGTTTGGGGTTTAGGGTTTAGGATATAGGGTTTAGGGTTTTGTGTTCAAGGTTTACGGTTTCGGGGTTCTGCAGGTTAGGGTGTGGGGTGTAGGGTTTTGGGTTTATATAGGTTCGGAGCTGGGAGAACTGGGGTTGGAGTTTGAGTAAGGTTAGCCAAGGTTTGGCAAGGTTTGCTAAGGTTTTGTAAGACATGCCAAGGTATTTTCAAGCTTAGTAAGGTTTTAGCCTTCGCGTGACTCAGGCGAGGCACTTGGAATGCTAGAGTTTTTTGGGGTTGAGGGTTTAGGGTTTAGGGTTGGGTTTTACTGTGACCTCGGGGCCAGCGTGGGGGCTTGGACTGGGTCTCCATCAGTGTTAGGGATCCTTTTTACTTTTTGGGTTCTGGGCTTTCTTATATATGAACAAAAAGGATCCTTTTTTCTTCCTAGGGGAACAGGGATTAAGGGGTTTTCTTGTCTTTCGGGGTTCAGGGCTTCAGGGGGCTGGCACCCGTCGCTTCTGTGAGCAGCTGGTTTGTGGGATCCCTTACTGTTCTCCCTCCCCCAACATGTCAAAGAAACAGAACTTAAGCCCTGTGCGCAAGCTTTAGGATTCAGGGTTCAGGGTTTTGGGGTCCTAAACCCTGTTGAGCCTTACTCGGTCTTCTCAGACCCCCCCCCCCCCCCCCGACCCTTGCATCCCTAAACCCTAAACCCTAAACACTAAACCCTGTCAGGCACAGCTGTAGCGCCACTTCCTGACACCTGGCTGCAGGATGACGTGCCTCGGACTGGTATAGTCTACTATTTGCTTAAGAACCCCAAAAAACAACAACAAAACAATAATAATCCCCATATTACCATTATAAGAATGAAGAAATTTTTTGGGGAGTGCAAAAAGCCATCGGAATGGTGGCGCCCAGTGGCCATGAGGCTTGTAGGGAGTAGGGATTAGGATTTAGGGTTTAGGGTTTATCATATCATTGTTCCAGGGTCGTAAGGGTTCATATATCTATAGTTTGCTAGAGAATAGAATGGGTTTGGGAGGGTAAGGTTTGGGATTTGGATGGTTTAGGAATTCCTTTCGATCTTTTGCTGGTGGGGGGGAGTGAGCCTCATTGTTTGGGATAGGGTTTAGTAGCTTCAGGCTGATCCCCTAACCACGCTAGGCCTTACACAACGGATGCCCGGAACAAGCTACGTCACAGCGGCACATGGTGATGTCCTTGCCGAACATGGTTTCTTCACCAGGTTCCCTTGATGCATCACACACTAAAACCTAGGCCCTAAGCCCTTATACAGTATCCCAATCCCTAACCCTAAACCCTACAGCCGAAACCCGAGAAACCCTAGACCCTAAACCCCAAACCCTAAACCCTTAATTAACCCTGAACCCAAAACTCTAAACCCTAAACAACCCTAAACCCCAGCAAGCCCCAAGCCCGGACCCCAACCTTCCGACTCCTCCCAGGCTCGAAAAGCTCAAGAGTCGGGTTTCGGGGTTTTGCGCTTATGGCGCCGAAATCCAAGATGCTTAGGCTTTGAAGGCTCCTATGTAGTTCCTTCTTGGGTTAGTTCTAGGGGATCCTGGTATACTACCCTAAAAAGGTACAACATGGGAGCCTTTGGGTAGGTTTAGCGTGCAGTATAGGTTTTGAGTTTAGGGGTAGATCTGCGTGAGTCGTACACATCCTGCTCTTCCCGCGTTGACCGGGTTCGCCGAGGATTTCCTGGCGGCACAGACGGACTTTGTCATGTGCACTGCCCAGTCAGTTGTTTTGCGTTTTCAGAGTGCTTCAAGCTTTTTAGGGTTTCGGGTAGTTCGGTTTTTGGTAATTGCAATTATACAGCCAATTTTGTATAGAGCCCTTGTGCAGGCGCGCGCCCCACACGATTTACCCTCAGGATCCATGTGCCTATATAGTATATACTTAGGCCTTAAAGGGGTTCCTATATACTAGCTTTAGGGGCCAAGTATGTACCATATAGGTACATGGATCCTTTGGGTTAGGGTCCTCGGTAGGTTTTTCTGGCTTCGCTCGAATAGTGTTATAGAGCTGTGGCATGACTTGATGTATATTATCGGGGGGTTTTTAAGGGCCTCCTACAGGGTGGGGCCCCCTTACTATACTAACTGTAGTTAAGGGACTTATAACCTAACTTAGGGTCCTTATAGCCCAATTTAGGGCCCTTATAACTCTACTTATAACTAGGGGGCCCCACCCTGTACATAGTAGCTTTCGGACCCAAGCAATATACTATGTAGGTACATGGACACGTTGGGTACCAAATTTACACTTATATACAGCCGTGAAGTTACAATTCTCTAATGCTACCCCTACAAACCTGATAAAGCCTACATAAACGCTGCTGTTCTGCCGTCGCAGCACTGAATGCCAGTGTGCTGTGTGGGATTAAGAAGAAGATAGCCTTCTTTTGGCCATGACCGAGAGGGCGATTGTTCGTGGCATTTACAATGACTTCTGCCGTGAATGGCTACAGCTGAACAGGGACCAACGGGCTTGGGCCTATCTCCTCGACTCTGTTCAGTTTGCTGGTCCAGTGCAGAGGGATGCCCTGCACGACTCTTTCCACTCGCACACTGCGGTGTCCATGATAGAGACTTTGGACTTCTGATCTTTCCCCTCGCCCCCCCCCCCCCCCCCCCCCCCCCATCATCGGAGAAAAGGAAAAGGCTTGACTTTTTCCAGGTTTAGGGTTTAGGGTGGAATTGTTTGTGGAGGTCCCTGCTGAAGAAATTTGAAGCCTTACACCTCCCGTTGTCAGGATGGTGTCCAGCATTGGCTTTTTCCGATTAATTTCCGAGGCACTTTACCTTTCGAGAGAGAAGTCTTCACGTTTAGGGCCGGGTTTAGGGTCCAAGACAACCCTCCATGAGCTGGTTCTTACTTCTTACGCAAGAAATCGAGAATTCGGTGGTTTCTCGACCCCCCTATTTAACAGCCTTGTATGGGCAACCAGAGAGTCCCAAAAACCCCGAGACCCTAAACCAGCACTCCACAGCTCCCCCACGGTTTAGGGTTTAGGGTTTAGGGTTTAGGGTTACCCCAAGAAGCACCCCAGCGCTGCGACTTTTGGGGTCTAGGGAAGTTCAAAGCCAGTCCCTAAACCCTAAAGTCCCTAAGCCTAAGTCCCATAAAGACCCCCAAGCCCCATAAAGACTCCTGAGCCCTAAACCTAAACTAAGCCCTAAACCCTCAGTTTGTTAAAAAATTCGTCTGCACAGGCTCTCCGAAGTCCAAGGCCTCTCGGATTCGGACGCCGGGCGGCCCAGACCCTGCACGGAGTCGTGCTACATGGCTTATAGGCATCAGGGGTTTAGGGTTTAGGGTTTCGGGTTTAGGGGTTTCGGGTCTAGGGTTTAGGACTTAGTAATCAGGAGTTTGGAGTTTAGGGTTTAGGGTTTTTGGGGCTCAGGAATTAAGGGTTTAGGGTCTGGGGTTTACGGCTTAGGAACTAGGGGTTTAGGGTTTAGGGGTTTATAGGATTGCCGGGTTTGCAGGACCTGGGCTTAAGCAGGGTTTCGAATAAAGGGTTTCGGGTTTGGGGTCAAGGGTAACCCTAAACCCTGAACCCTAAATTTAAGAGCCTCCGGCTCAAGCCGCCGACCCCGCTGGAGCATAGTTGAGAGGTCTAAACCCGCTCGCAATCCCAGCCTGCTCGGCAGAGTTCTGTGAAACGTTTGGGTGGGGGGTAGGGGGTAGCACCAGGACAAGCCAAAAAGACAGGTGGGTGGGGGTGGGGGGGGTAGGGGGGTGGGGGGAGGGTAGGGTGGGGGGGGGGGGGGGGGGGGGGGGGGGGGGGGGGGGGGGGGGCGGGGGGGGGGGGGTGTGGTGGTGGGGGGGGCGGTTTGGGGGCGGGGTGGGGGGGGGGGGTGGGGGGGGGGGGGGGGGGGGGTGGGGGTGTGAGGGCGCCCCTACCCCGCTGTGCTGGACCGCCTGTTTACGCTGTGCGGGTCTCCACGAAAAAATTGTGCACCGACTCCGACCCCCCCTACCCCCCCCCCCCCTGTTTTGGGGTGGGTAAGG